TCTCTCTCTCTCTCTCTCTCTCTCTCTCTCTCTCTCTCTCTCTCTCTTTCTTTCTTTCTTTCTTCTTAAAGAAAGGCTCTCATGTAGCCCAGTCTAGTCTCAAACTCTCTGTATAGCCAAGGATGACCCTGAATTTCTGATTCTCCTTCTTTCATCTCCTGGGTGCTGGGATTACAGGTGTGAACCATTGTCCCTGACAGAGTGCCAGGGGAGGAACCCAGGGCTCCACGCATCTAGACAAGCACTCCACCAACTGAGGAGCTCCAGCCCTAGCCCCAGGATTTTTTAACTGCCGTTTTTATTTGTTTGTTTTTTTCAAGCTTCAAATCTCAAAATTGGCAAGTTCAGGTCTGTGCTTAAGAAACTCTCTGACGTGAAATTTAACAGAGGTCTTTCAAAGTTGGAACAATTAAATATCCAGTCAAAGAGGACAGAGCAATAACCATGGGCTCCCCTCTCACTGAAGGGACCATTAGATGGCATTCATCATTAGGACTTTGTTTCAAGGGCAGCATGGCTGCAATACAGATGTCCATGCCAAGGACCTGAAAGTACCTAATGTTCCTGCTCTCACTGTCCCTGGATTTGTGAAGAACATGAGATTCCACCCTGGGCTTTGGTGGACATGCACCAAGTCTGGGGCTGTTGTAGAATGATCTATGAATTTGCTATGCTTCCTTAATATTCCAGACTTTTTAAAAAATAGATTTTTAAATTTTAAATTGTGTGTGTATGTGGGTATGCACACTTGAGTGCAGATGGCCAGAGGCATAGGGTCCCCTGGAGCTGTAGTTATAGACAGTTGTGAGCCACCCAACATGTGTGTTGGAAACCAAACCTGGGTTCTCTCCAAGAGCAGTGTGTGTGCTCTCAACCCCTGCACGATCTCTCCAGCCCCAATATTCAATCTTAATTCTCCTTAAAGCCCCACAGAACTGTTTAAGTATTGGTGGCAATGTAGATAGTTCTGGAAGAAAAACCCACCTTGCTTGTATTTTACAGAATGGCATTTGTGAGATTACCCCCTCTGTTAAAGACAGGGTCTCATGTAGTCCAGGCTGGCCTTGAACTCACTTTACAGTTGAGGATGACCTTGAACTCTTGATCCTTCTGCCTCCACCTCTTGAATGCTGGGGTTACAGGCATGGGCCACCACTATGGTTTCTGAAGTACCAGTGCATGTTAAGCAAGCACCCTACCAATTGAGCCACACTACCAGCAAGAGGGCAGCTCGTTTGATTGAAATTCTTTTGGAATCTTCTTTGCTAGTGTCATATGTATGCGAGACTTTGTCATGGGAAACAGCTGCTACATGGTGGTAGCTGTGCTGCTGCTGGTGGGCACCAGGAGGACGAGAGCCCTGCAGGACTCCTGTGACAAGTGTGAGGCTGGTGAGTACCAGACCGACAGCTGCTTTTTCTGACTGGAAAACTCGGTTTGGGTAGCTTGGCTAGCAAAGGCTGCTGGATACAAGATAGTGGCTGTGAGGACCCAGCTCGCTCACTGAACCCCGGCACCTCAACTTTGCCGGTTGAGTACAATCAGAGAAGCTGTCTCAGGGGTGCGTGGAAGGTCCCGGGAGAGGCTCAGGACAGCACCAGGTAAAGGTCGGCCTTGTATACGGGGTGCACTCTGCAGCAAGGCGCAAGCAGGTGGCGGTGGTACTCTTCTCCTGGCTCCTGTCCCCAGGCCCAGATCTCCCAGAGGAGTCTAGTCTTGCTCAACAGATCCAGGTTTTCTTCTCTTGATTTCTTTTTTACAGCATTCATATGTTGTTATTAATGTTATTAATCCTAGTTGCTGGATTATGCTAAGGGTCACTCAGCAAATGTGTAGTCTTAAAATGCCAATCCATAAACATGTCTATTACCATGATGCCTAGAGGACAGACGGAGCATTTATTTTGATTTCCTCATAATGCTTTGAGTGATGATCGAGTATTGTCAGACACAGAAACCTATGATGCCTTTCAGGTACCTTCTGCAAGAAAGACAATCCAGTTTGTACCAGATGTCCTCCAAGCACTTACTCCACCAGGGGTGGACAGCCGTATTGCAACATCTGCAAAGTGTGTGTAGGTAGGTCTGCTTGTCTGTTTTGAGATCTTGCTGTTGCCCAAGCTGGACTGGAACTTGTGATCTTCAGCCTCCCAAGTCTGGAGGTCTGCTTCAAACTGAGGTGTCTCCGTCTTTAGGACTGCAGGGGGAGAGACCAGCTTTGGTCTCTCTTTACTAACTGCTCTCTATTTAAAATCTCAAGCTTCACAGAGGTGCTGATGCCTCTGTCCACAGCAGGTGTAGGCAAATATTTCATGGAATAGCTCTTACCACTGCCTTGAAGACCAGCCTCCAGCAGCTCAGGGGTTGGGGGATCCAGTGAAGTCAGCAAACTAATCATTCAACTTGACTTTTCTATCTGAGGGAGTAAACTAAACTCTCTGGGTCTGGTGAAAAAGGAAACACACACACACACACACACACACACACACACACACACACACACACACACACACCCCTTTAGGGTTTCTCCATCATCTTCTCTCTTTGTTCTCTGTTTCTTTTCTTACCTCTATTCAGATGTCTTCTGTCTCTCTTGATGTTTTCCTTCTAACTTTATTTTTTTCCCTTACAGCTTATGTACCCCAGCAAAATCTTGAAAGCAATATAAAAATTATAGTGAGGTTACACACTATTTTTAAGTGAATGATTACAATGTATACATGTAAAAAACAGCATGTTTTTCATCTCCCTTACATGATTAAACATTTAACGTATTACAGGTGAAAAACGACTTGTCCTAAGAACCCACGTACATCGATGTCCAAGAAACTTGTTATAAATTAACAGAGTGTAGGCAAGGTATTTTTCTCAGCCAGTTCTTTTACTGGCAGGATGCATTTTTTTCAGTTACAAAGAAAGAACCAATCATTTTATTATTTATCTCAACAGGTAATCTTATAAGAATCTTAAATCTAAAGTTTTCTATATGAAAAACAATCAGTCAGCTCTACTTTCAATCCTCAGGCTGCATACCCATTCATCAACAAGTTTTTATATCAGGAAGCCGAGGGCAGAAATGGGTACAAGGTATCATCACCCTTGATAACCAGCCCATCCTAGCAAGAAAGGTACTTCAGCCAGCAATAGCCAGGCTATCTCATTGTCCTTGTTCTCTGACCTCAACAGGGCCCTTGCTCAGCTATTAGAAGTGTCTTTAAATTGTTTTCCAAGATTTTATTTTTACCTCAAAGCCATCAACAAAAACAGCTTAATCTAACCTTAAGTCATAGTTAAAGCTTTGTTTCAGCAATGATGCACACTGAAACCTGTGAACACATCTCTCAACATTAAGATTAAAAGAACTTGAGCTAACCCAGCCTCTGGGACTCAGTTGTTTTTCTTAACCATTAACCTAAGCCACAGTCTACATGGCTCCTCAGGAGAAACTAGCTGTGTGACATTTCCTTGTTCTTATTTTCTGTCCTCTGCAGCCCCCATTTTATCAGGGCGGGGGAAACACCATATCTTGCTTTTACCTATATTAGTTTTCCCACTAAGCCAACCTCTATCATAATCCCTCACTACATTTATTAAAGACCCTCAATCATCAACATCCTATTTAAACTAACACTATTATCGTATAAAATCATTGCTTCAGTTAAACAGTACAGCTTAGGAGGAAATCATCTTCATAATAATCCACAGGTAAAAATGCCCACTAGAACAGGATGTTTCCATGAGATGATCACACCACATTAAGGGCAGTGGTTTTCCCCCCACGCCCATTCACACCATGCCAGATACCAGAGAAAAATGGCAGCGGCAAACATGTAAAAGACACAGCAGTAACAGACTTTCTGGGCCGAGGCTCTTGGGGCCTCGCCTGTCTGAGATTCACTCATCAGTGCCTTGCATGCTGGTGGACTGGTCCCCTGAAGTCACTTGCCATCTGCTGCTCCTCTGACCTGGCCACTGGCTGGCTATCACTTTTTGCTAAATTTTTTAAATAATAGAGGAAATACTCCTTTGACGAAAAGGTTTTTGTTATTGTTTGTGTTTTGTTTTGAGACTGGGTCTCATTATGTAACCCTGGATGACCTGGAACTTACTCTATAGGCCAAGCTGGCCTGGAACTCAGATCTACCTGCCTCTACATCTGGAGTGCTGAGATTAAAGGTGTGCACTACCATGCCTGGCTTTTTTTTTTTTTTTTTTTTTTTTAAATAGGGTCTCATAGCATAGGCTGGCCTCAAACTTCTGATCTTCCTGCCCCAATGCTGAGGTTACAGCCAAGCACCACCACACAGTTTATGAGGTGCTGGGGATGGGACCCAGGGCTTTGGCATGCTAGGCAAGCATGCTACCCCTGAACTGCCTCCCCACCCAAGAAAAGCTTTTAGCAAGCAAAGTGTAAAAATCTCTCTCTCTCTCTCTCTCTCTCTCTCTCTCTCTCTCTCTCTCTCTCTCTCTTTTTTTTGTTTTTTGAGACAGGGTTTCTCTGGGGTTTCTCTGTGTAGCTTTGCGCCTTTCCTGGAACTCGCTTTGGAGACCAGGCTGGCCTCGAACTCACAGAGATCTGCCTGCCTCTGCCTCCCAAGTGCTGGGATTAAAGGCATGTGCCACCACCGCCCAGCATGTAAAAATATCTTAATGGGGGTTGAAAATAGAACAATATAAGCCAGGCATTGTGGCACAAATCCCAGCACTAGGAGACTGAGGCAGGAGAATTTTAATTTAAGCCTACGCTAGGCTACACGATGAGGCCCTACTTCACAAAAAGACAGTAATTAGGTGAACACAACATTCTAAAGTTATAATGTCACTAACATTATGAGCAGAGAAATGAATATATATATTTACACACATATATACACATACATATACACACATATATACATGTATACACATACATACATATATATGCACATACACACACACATATATTTAAACTGCAGAAGAAAAATTTGTTTCCCACTTTGGAGGTCAAGGGTAACACAGAGCTGGGCCTTTGTAGGTTATTTCAGGTTCAAGAAGCCTTGCTCCCCGACCAGTGACGCAGAGTGTGAATGCACCGAGGGACTCCACTGCTTCGGGCCAAAGTGTGCCAGGTGTGAAAAGGACTGCAAGCCAGGCCAGGAATTAACAGAGCAGGGTAGGTGTGCTCTTTCTCCACCCAGCTCAAGTTTGTGTTGGAGACATGTTTCTTAGGGTTTGAGAACCTCGACAGAGATGCAGTATACTGTGCTAACACTGTGTTTGAATTGTATTCCATTATGTATTCTACTGTGTTTCCATATACGGAAATAACCAGAAACCAGGACATTGTGTTCATCATCAGAGCCATGTATTTTTGCTCATTTTAGATATACACAATATTCCTTATATGATTAGACTGAAAATGAGAAATCTCAGGGTTTCAATTCAAGAATCACTAAGCAGGGGCTGGAAAGATGGCTCAGTTAAGAGTGACTGCTGTTCGTGCAGAGGACTCAAGTTCAGTTCCCAGCACCCACATCAGGCTGCTCCAGGGGACCTGATGCCCTCTTCTGGACTCTGTGGGTACTGCACTCACATGCACATATGCAATACAGATAGATGCACACATACATATGAATAAAAGATTAAATCTTTAAAATAATCATGAAGCAGTTTGCACAGGCTAACCTAATGAAATCAAGCCACTTGTTCATCACAAGGGAAGTTGTAAAATGCTAAAATGCCTCCGATTGATTCTCAACTTTTCTTCAAGGTTGTAAAAACTGTGGCTTCGGGACGTTTAATGATCAGAACGGTGGTGGCCACTGTCGACCCTGGACAAAGTACGTATATATTCTCATTTTCCTCACAACATAAAGAACCTGAGACAAACTGAAAAGGAAGAGCACTGTCCCTGGAGTGTAGATCCACAGCGACACACCCCAGGTGACAGGAACTCCGTGAGGTCACAGTCTTGTCTGAATGTGGGCGTTCCTCAGAAAACATGCTGGTGTGCAGTGAGCGGTCTGGTGGAGCTTGCCGCCCTCTGCCTTGATGGGTCCTCAGCTCTCTGTTTCTGATGTCTTGCTTGTCACCTTCCCTTCCTGGCTGGCCCATAGTAAGTGCTCAGGGTCATCACCGAGCGTGACAGGGCAGGGTACAGCCGTCTGTCTCTACAGTGTGTCATTCACACCCATGTGGTGGTGTGCTAGCCACTGGAGGGCACAGCCGGTAGCAAGGGTCCAAATGTGCTCATGCCTCCAGGGTTGGCACTGGTGCTGGTGAGGTTTGATGGTGCCAGGACTGCAGTGGTCTGGGAATCATGCTGTCTCAGAGATTGTGACGGTAAACGGGCAGTCATGTGGGCTCTGATGATGAAAATCACATTTTAAATGTTTGATTTTCTTAGTAGAAACTGAGTTTTCTTGTTACTTTGGTTACATATTTATAATGTTTTACAAATGTCCTGGTGGGTAACAGACTGGAATGTTTTTTAAAAAGGTCTTTCAGCCTAAATTGATTAAAATATTCAAGTGAGTTTGTGTAAAATGGGACATGAACAGGGCTCTAAAGAAAAAGAAAAAGCCTATGTGCTGGTGGTGGTGATGGTGATGATGGTGATGTTAGTGATGATAGTGATGATGATTATACCGATAGTGATGGTGATGATGGTGGTGATGGTGATGATGGTGATGGTGATGATGATGATGATGGTGATGATGATGATGGTGGTGATGGTGATGGTGGTGATGATGGTGATGATGGTGGTGATGGTGATGATGGTGATGATGGTGGTGGTGGTGGTGATGATGGTGGTGATGGCAACAACAGTTGTTATTCATTAAATGTGTCCAGCATGTGAGATTGTGTCCCTGCGACTCATTCATTTGCTTTAACCCCAATCTTGGGAGCACAGGCTGCCCCTCTTTTTAGCTCTGAGCAAACCAAGGCTTACACAAGCTTTACACGCTTGCTGAAGGTCACTCTGTGAAGGGGACCCAGGGGTCGTCCCTGCTTTGTCTGGGGTGCTGCTGGAAGCCCATTTGTGCTCCGCTTGTGCCCACGTCAGCAAAGGAGCAAGAACTTGGGGGACAGGGTCTCTCAACAAATGAGGCAGAACATGTTGACTGAACTACACTGTCATGGAATAAGACAGAGTGTGTGTGCGTCCTCAGCCTGGGGAGAGAGACCAGCCTGCCGGGTGGGTGAAGTGGGGTGAGGCTACCGTACCTTGAGAGCTGAGGGAAACTGGTGGAGGCCAGAGGGTCACGTGGAACTTTCTCACATGATCTACCTGTTGCTCGTGAGCCCGAGCCCACCTACGGCATGACGTGGTTACTTCACGGGGTGACACGTACCAGGTGCTTCACTGTGCTCTTCTGCACCCAAATTAATCGCCTGAACTCTTTTTCTTGCCCTGTCTAAGCTGCTCTCTAGCTGGAAAGTCTGTGCGTGAGAACGGGACCCAGGAGAAGGACGTGGTCTGTGGGCCCGCTTTGGCCAGCCTCTCTCCAGGTACCTCCCCCACCGCTGTGCCGGCCTCTGGTGAGAAAACTAGGTGTTCTATTGCTATTAAATAAAAGTGAATGGTTGGGTATGGTGGGACACACCTGGAATCACTCCACTACAGAGGCTGAGGCAGGAGGTCGGCAAGTTCCAGGCTAGCCTGGGCTACATAGTAAGACTCCGTGAAAAAGCTCATCCAAACAAATGCATCAAGTCTGTTAGCCTCTAAGGGGATGTCCTCAGCACGGCTGGGCCTCCCAGCTCTGCCCACAGCAGGCAGCTCTGAGGTACCACCCTCTCGGCGCCTGCCTTGTTTCCCTGAGTGTTGTTACTCAATCAGTAATCGGTAATGGTGACCCTCATCCCAAACCGGTAACATGCGATTCCAGAGGCCAAGTCCAGGGAGCTGAAGGGCCTCGGGTTTCCTCTATGCTCAGTAGTCCAGGCTACTTAGTTTCTGTAGGCTTCTGGGAAAAATCATTAAATCTGGGTTCATTTTTAAAAGTCACTTAGGTTTAGGACTTGGGATGTGACTCAGTTGGTAAAGCCCTCCTGCCCCATGCCGGAAAGGCCCTGGATTCCGAACCCAGAACTGTATGAATTTGGGCATGGTGGTGCATACATGTAATCCCCACTCTGGTGGTGGAGGCAGGAGGATCAGGAGTTCCGGGTCATCCTCAGGTACATATAGGGCTTGAGGCTAGCCTGGGATACATGAGACCTTATCTCAAAAACGAAACAGAGCAAACAAAAAACAGTAAAGTCATCTAAGCTTGTTAAGTTATGGGTTAGGGGTGCTCAGGGTGCTGCCTCTCTGGAGCCCATGTATTTGGGGGGCGAGTTCAAATCCAGCTTGTCCTCACTAAACACTTTGGCATTTCTCTCCTTGCTCTAGAAGGAGGGCTCCCCTTGCAGGTCCTTACCGTGTTCCTGGCGCTGACCTCGGCCATACTGCTGTTCCTGCTCTTCATCATTCTCTGGTTCTTGGTGGCCAGATGGAGCGGCAAGAAATTCCCCTACATATTCAAGCAACGTAAGGCCGACAACACAGGATGGGCAGGGCCAACACAACACAGGATGGGGGGGCAGGGCACAAGTCTGGAGTCAGGACAACTTTGCAGAGTGGGTTTTCTCCGGCTTCAGGGACCGAATCAGGTCCTCAGGCTTGCACAGCACATGCCTTTACTCACCTAGCCTCTTGTAAGCTTAGGTTTTTTTTTTTTTTTTTAAGTTATGAACATATGATTGGCTGACACAATGGTTGCAAAACCAGGACAAACTTGTTCCCACAAGGGTATTGGCAAATGTATGGAGGCAGTTGGGGGTACTTGTGACTTGGGGCTGGGAGGAATAGTTGGAGTAGGGGGTGGGAGGCTCTCCATCCCCACAATGCACAAGGTGGCCCCCTAGCCACGAGAATTGTGCTCTGCATGTCACTAGGGAAGGGATGGGGACCGAACAAGACCCAGAGTGTTGGGAAGACAAGGGACAAGTATGTGGCGGTTCCAGATAACTGTGCACGTGTAAGTGTGGGTACCCAGTGGTTCCAGATAACTGTGCACGTGTAAGTGTGGGTACCCAGTCAGCCGGTGCCCACGGCACAGAGGAACAGAAAAGAACATTGCCTCAGAAGTGGGGGGGGGGGAATAACTCAGTGAGTAGAGTGTTTGCTGGCAAACCAGGTCCATGTAAAGATGCAATGGCGTGTGCTTTCAATCCCAATGCAGGACAGCTCGTGACAGGCAGTGACAGGCAGACCCCAGGGGCTTGTTACCCACCCAGCCTTGCCTAGTTGGTAAATTCTAGGCCAGTGAGAGACCCTGTCTCATTAAAAAAAAAAAAAAAACCATGCAAACACAGGTGGACCTCTGACCTCTCTACACACGTGTGCACTTGCACACATGTGAACACACACACACACATCCCCATACAGAGCATCACCCGACCCAGTGTTACTTCTTGTGTTGGTAAACACCCTTGGCCTTAGCTCTGGTCTGTATTTGAGGAAGCAGAGAGAACCGGATGGTGTTGAAGTGGGTGTAAGGTGCCCTATAACAGAGAATGAAAATTTTCAAAGGCAGATTTCATCCATTAATAAGCTAAATATGATTCTATGAGGAGGCTGGGTGGTGGTGGCACACGCCTTTAATCTTAGCACTTAGGAGGCAGAGGTGGGTGGATCTCTGTGAGTTCACGGCCAGCCTGGTTTACAGAGTGCGTTCTAGGACAGCCAGGGCTACATAGTGAGACCCTGTCTTAAAATATGAAAGAAAGAAAACAAGGAGGAGGAAAAGAAGAAAAGAAAGAAGGAAAGAAAAAGAGAGAGAGAGAGAGAGAGAGAGAGAGAGAAAGAAAGAAAGAAAGAAAGAAAGAAAGAAAGAAAGAAAGAAAGAAAGGGAAAAGGAAGGAAGAAGAAGGAAGAAGGAAAGAAGGAAGAAGGAAGGAAGGAGGAGGAAGGAAGGAAGAAGAAGGAAGGAAGAAGGAAAGAAGGAAGGAAGGAAGGAAGGAAGGAAGGAAGGAAGGAAGGAAGGAAGGAAGGAAGGAAGGAAGGAAGGAAGAGAAAAAGGACTCACCCACAGGTTGGGTTCCAGTCCCCTGTGGCCACATTCCAGTCTCCTACATTCTTTCTCAAATGGCAGTACAGGTTCTGTTCTGTGGGTTTTTTAAACTGGGTATTTGTGTGTGTGGTGTGCATGTGCATACGTGTGCGTGTGCCTGTGTGTAGTTGTGCATATGTGTATGTGTAGACACCAAGGCTGGGGTCAGGCATCTTCCTAGAGTGCCCCCACTTGCTCTCAGTAGAATCTAGAGCTCATCATAGACTCATCTAGCTAGCCAGCTTGCCCCAGGGACCCTGTCTCTGTCTTCCAGGGTCACAGTGGTCACCACCCTCCTGGACCTTGTGTGTGGCGCTGGGGATCTGAACTCCGCTTCTCATGTTCTCAGGGCTAACACTAGTTACCGAACCATTTCCCAAGCTTTGGTCTTGTTTTTTAACCTAGGGGAAAAGATGTGGGAATGAGTAACTTGAGTCCTGTCCAAGTGGGTGGGTCAAACTTTTCCAAAAATAATGGGGACCACATCGAACGCCTCTTCAGTGGGGTGTGAGTGCTATTTTTATGTCTGGGTGGGAACAGTGGCTGGTTGTGGTTTTGATTTGCATTTCCTTGACGAGCTCTGAGGTTAGATGCCTTTCACTTTGATTGGCTGTTTGGATTTCTTACACTGAGAAGTCTTCCCACAGGGCCACCTATCCTTTCTTTATCAATGAAAGAACTCTGTCCCCAGCTGCAGACGTCTGTCTGTTTTCTGTGGTCTTTCCCTCTCCGTCCCGGGGCTCTGTTTCTGGAGGAGACCTCTGTACTACCTTGAACCATCACCATATTCCCACCCAGAGTGGCAACAGGGTTTCTGTGAACATGTTTTCAAAGGTATAATCAGTAACGAGGGACTTGTAGTCATTTAAAAAAAACAAAAAACTTTTCATTTTTATGTAATTACACAGTCATAGAGTCACAAACAAGGAGCAGAATAGCATCACGTGCCATTCACAAGACTCTAATCTGATATCACAATGAGGCCAGGACTACGATGCACAGAACACACATGGCTGTATGCCTCTTTGTCAGGTCTGTAGACCCAAGTACCGAACAACACTGAAAGACAGAACTTGTAAATCGGGGTGTTGGGGGTGCTTGCCTGGAGCCCCAACATGTGGGAGACTGAAGCAGGAGGCTCCCAAGTTCAAGGCCATAGGTTACATGACTAAACAACCAACCAACCAACCAACAAACAAACAAAAACAAACCCAAAACTATGCACAGCCAAGATCCAGCCCTGCTCGCCCTTCTTCTCAGTCCTTTCCTTTCTCAGGCAGCCACTCATCTGTTTCTGATTTTTGACTCCAGGTTGTTGTTTTAAGGTACTTATTATTTATTTATGTCACACATGTTTGCTTGCATGAGTTTTATGTATCTCACATGCATGCAGGAACACATGGAGGCCAGCTCCCCGAAACTGGACTTAGAGGCAGTTCTGAGTGCTGCCTGTGGGTGCTGGGACCTGAACTAGGCCCTTTTCAAGAGCGACAAGTGCTCTCAGCTACTGAGCCATCTCATCAGCCCTTGTTTTCACTCTTACATGTTAAAAAAAAAATCTATGGATACTTGTGTGTAGGTTTCATGTGAACATGAGTTTTTTGTGTCTCTTAAACACAATTGTATTGCGCTTTAGTTTTTAAATTTTAAGTTCATTTTTGCTTAGTTTGTGTGTGTGCCCATGCCACTGGGAGCATGTTGAGGTCAGAAACAACCTGCAGAAATAGGTTCTCTCCTTCCACATGGCAGAGGCAGTCTCTCTTGCTTCTGCCAAGCTGGGTTGACTGGCTGACCCCCCAGCTTCTCTCTCTCTCTCTCTCTCTCTCTCTCTCTCTCTCTCTCTCTCTCTCTCTCTCTCTCTCTCATCCATCTTGCCATAGGAGTGCCACATCATCTGTATTTGACTTAAAAATAGTGTTTTTTACATTTCTGTCTCTCCTTCCCTCCATCTGCCTCTGTGTGTGTGTGTTTAGGGCAGAGGAGTCCTGTGGCGTAGGTACTCTCCTCCCACCACGTGGGTCCCAGGGATCAAACTCAAGCTGTCAATCAAAGGCAGCACGCATCTCTGCTTGCTGAGCGGCCTCACCGGCCCCAGTCTCAGGCCCCCTCACTGCAGCCTCGGTCTGAAAGGTTGAGACTTCCCCCCCAGTGTTAGGGTCTCAACGTTTTCACGCTTGAATTTGACATTTAAAGCTGTGTTAGTTAGAGATAAAGTGTGAGAAATTAAGGTCAAGATTTTTCTCTCAGGGGTGGGAGCTGTGTCTCCAGTTGCTCTGGTGTTAATCAGAGGAAACATTGTCTTCCCTGCTCTGTCTACCCCTAAATCATTGACTGTGTTTGTCGGGGCGCAGATCATCCCCGCCCCCCCGTTCCAGCTGTGCGTCTATTCCAGCACCAGAGTCTTGGTTACTGTAGTCATAAAACCAGTCTTAAAATGGCGTAGAGTGGAGGACCCACTATCTGTCCCTCGTCATCTTTTTCAGATTCGTTTTAGTTCTTTATTCTGTTTCTTTTCTATTTCCACGTAAATTTTATGAGACTATCATCTGTGTCCACAGATAGTCAGCCGGGATCCTGACAGGGATTGCAGGAAGTTTGTGGACCAGCTTGGGAGGAAATCTCCATTAGCCATCCCAATCCGTGAACATAGTGTGTCTTTCCATTTATGCTTTCTCTTACCTTACCTATTTCGTAATTTACAGTGTGAGTCCCATATGCTGATTTTTTAGGTTTAGGCCTGAGTATTTATGCCCCCCACCACCATTTACATGTGTGTGTGTGTCTGTGGTGCATGTGCTTGTAAATTTTTGCACATATGTGGGCATACCTGTGTGGGTGACTGCATGGGGAGGTCCTGTGTTGACATTAGGAATCATCTTTGATTGGTTCTTCACCTTATTGATTGAGGCAGGGTCTGCCCATCAAACGCAGAGCTCACCAATATGGCTAGCCTGGCTAGCCAGCTGGCTATGGGGACCTGGTCTCATCTCCCTACCTCCCAAGGCTAGAATTACAGCCAGGCTGCTATACCCAGTTTGTGGGGTTCTAGGGAGCCAAACTCCAGCCTTTATGAGTGGGTGACTAGTGCTTTAATTACTGAGCCACCTCCTCAGTCTTTTAAAAAATACTTTCCTGGCCGGGCGTTGGTGGCGCACGCCTTTAATCCCAGCACTCGGGAGGCAGAGCCAGGCGGATCTCTGTGAGTTCGAGGCCAGCCTGGGCTACCAAGTGAGC